GCGTTCCCCTCGCACAAACACGAGGCTTTTACAACCGAGCCGACCCGTCAGGACGACAAAAAAAAAAAAAAACCCTAAACAGGTTCTGTTGGGCGACGCGGTGTGATACATTCTCTAGTGATCAGTCACTGATTGAGGATGGCCGATTCGGGCCTTTGTTGCGCGACATGGAGGCTGGAAGAGTAAAGTGTCAGGGAGACATCTCAGCCGACTCGGGGAGGCTTCTCCCTCCTGCCTCTGAAAGCATTCCCAAGCTTTTGTTTGCGGGGGATGATAGAGAATCGAGCGCAGATAGTTCCGGGTGACTGCCTGGGGTGTTATGGGAAAAGAGCTCGGGAACGGGGAAAGACAGAACACCCAAGAGAAGAAACGACAATACAAACAAAATATGTCATTTGAGGGAAAACAGTGTTGCTGTCATACGCTCTTATAAAAGGTTTTCAGCTTTTGATTGGGCAAATTTTATATATATATATATAAAAAAAAACTCTGTTATAGTTCCTCTATTGACAACATATCTCTCTCTAACCGTCACATGCTCTGGAGCTTAAACTTCAGGAGAAATCTCTTAAGATTCCTGCCATGTCTCCATACCACACACCTTCACTCCGCCTCTCAGCTCAAGTAGATGTTTTCAGACAATACAAAGACAGAATTCCTCAGAAACACTTCATACGGAGTGGCAGTCCCGGAGATGTAATCCAATGCTATTCCCTGGCTTCGTAATGTCCGCGGTGGCCGACGGGACATGTCTTGACACAGCAGGGTTCAAACAGCGCCCTCATTCTCTAAAGTAGCGCTTTGTGCGCAGATCAAGCCAATTTTTTTTCTCTTTTTTTTTTTTGACCTGACAAAGCTGTAGTGTTTAACAGCAGGATTAAAAGTCCCAAATCCCGGCATCGGCACTTAGCTAAAGCAACAGGGGAGAGAGCGGAACAGTTCACCTGAGAAACCGAGGATGACGGGGGGAGGTGAAGCCCAGGTGGGAGTGCTTAAAAGGAGTTTCGCTCATTTTACTGCTGAATTCATGTAGAGATACTGTGACAACCTGCATGGAGGGGAAACTAAAGTATTTTCTCTGTTACAAAAATGCTTTTTAAAGCCATGAAACCAGATTACTGAGGACGTTTATTCACCCAAAATCTAAATCCAGAGACATCATGGCTGCCAGTGTCAATGAGCAGAGTTGGGTAGTAACTAAGTTAAATCTACTCAATTACATTAACTTTTTTGAAAAAATGTACTTCTATGATTATTTTTAATGTAGACTGAACTTTTTACTTTTACTTGAGTAATTTTCGTATGAAGTATTGTGACTTTTACTGGAGTAAAATTTCAGGATTTTCTACCCGCTGAATGAAAAAACCAAACATGTTTGAACCAAAAATTCAAAATCAAATATTCTGTTTTTGTTAAAGTTTCATAAGTTATTTATTGAAAAAAAAATATTTGGGGAAAAAAAAATCCTTTGCCTGCTTTTTTTTTTTTTTTGGTCCTAAAAATACCAAAATTGTTTCTTAACTTTATATTTTGATCCATCTCATGATGTAATATTTAAATATTAAAAGTTTGATAATTTGATCAGTTATTCAGTCCAATAGTATAGCTTAGGGTCAATGCTGATAGAAGAAAAAAACAGAGTAAATTTTCACCAAAAACTCAGAAATATCAGGGTTTTCTAGAAAAAAAACTTGAAACCTTATGAGTGTGAAAGTAAAAAAAAAATGCTGCTAGAAAATCTCAGAAAATTTGTGGAGTTTCAAAAGTCAAAAATTGTCCAACATTAATTTTCATGACTCTTCACTTGTCAGATTATCATTTGAATTTTGTTCTTGATTTTGCAGCTCTGGCTGTCCAGGGCCGTCGTGTCCTGAAAGGTGAACCTCCGTGAAGGCAGTTAATTTATTATATTTAGCGGCATCAAAGTAAAAGGGGTCGAAACAAACCCAAACACCATGTTTTTGAAATCTTTATGTTGAAACTCATGTTATTTTTATTCCATTTCACTAGGTTACACTATCACATACAACCCCTAGGTGGCGTATACTGAAAATGCGAAACAGGTCAAGGAGTATTAATACCTTTCCCAGGTGCTGTGGTAATGTAGCAGGTGGGTAAAATGAACAAAATTCTTCATCATAACAGTGAAATATTCTCTCCATTTTGGAGACAGAGCTCTTCCTCTGTGTTATCTCATCTTAAGACTCCTGGGAAACAGAAAAGTCCTTGATTACAAATTAAAAGCTCTTAGTCTAATTAACCTAAAAAGGTAAACCATGTTCAAGGACTCTTCAGTTGATTTGGTTTATTTCAGTTTTTCTACACTTCATTTTTGTGCATCTTAACATTAAGCCCGTGCTTCTTTCATTCAAGGTCTAGCTGGGAATATCTACAGACTGATGGAGAGATAAGACAGCGTTCTGCTGTGGATCCCAGACATGCACGACAGCAGAGACTCCTCTGAATGAGGCAACCCCGACAGCTTAAAAAAAAAAAAAAGTGCAAACGGGAATTATTTACATTGGAGGGATTTGTGTCTGCAGTAAATCAAGCGAGAGGGGTGGGGGGTCTACCTCGTTCTCGTAGGTTTCTGAACAAATTGGATGATCCTTTCCAAACAGGCGGAGTATCCGACAGCACCTTGTCTAACTCCTGGGGAAATAGAAGAAAATCCCGGATCGCTGAGTAATCCCGACGTTTGTCGACGTTTGTCAGCATTACAGTAATTACAGCTGCTTTGTACAGATAAAGAGGAGATTCAGAAGCTTTGATGGAGTCAAAACTCACCTTTTTAGTGAGGGACTTCCATCCTCTCCTACCTGAACAAAGAAATAGTCAAAGTCAATGTTTTGGGTTGCAGAGGAGGGGAAGAAAAAAAAAGTGAGGGTTATAAAGAAATCTGTGAAGCAAAAGTGAAAACAGGTGTTTGCATGGACAGAAACATGCTGCGGATCACGACGAACACATTCCAGTGGCCTGTAAAAGCAGCAGATAAGAGAGGTGTGTCGCTATTAAAAAAAAAGTCTGACTGAGAGGTAACTTTTAATAACATTAACAACAAACTTCTAAGGAAACACTTCAAAGACAGAATCAATTTATATCCTTTTTTCCTAAGCTGAAAAAATGTTATAAATGTGAAAAATTTTGCGACTAAGTTTTCAAAAGTTGTCTTGTGATTTTCCTTTCCCTCCGTCTGTTTTGCCTTCCTGAACACCCGCCACAACACTGGCGTGAAGCGCCATAACTATCATTTTACGACAAATGAGCAATTAGCGACGTGACGATAATGAGGCCTTACGTGTTATAGTGCTGTTTGCTGTTTGCCGGGGAAAAGCCACACCCAGCACATTACGGCCGGCCACACATCACAGGGCAACACTGTCTTATCGTGACATTTACGGCATCTGTGCAGAGTAATTCTCTCTCTGTGGGTCCCTGCAAGTTTGTTGCCACATAAATGAGCCATAAAAGTAGGGTTGCTGGTAAAGATGTCTATCTTTATGCAGGTGTTATGACTGAAGCACTTCAAGCCCTGACTTATTGTCCAACGACACTTCAGAGGCCCTCAGCAGCAGGAATGTTCCAGGAAGCAGCGTTTGGTAAAACTGTTATTAGAGCGTTGCATAACTAAGCAGGGTTGGGATCTGTTTTGATAGAGGTATAATTAGGCAAACGGGAGTTGACAGTGGACACTTTACAGCGCCCTGCTGAAGTATCCACACCTCTTGAACTTTTGGAACATATTTTAAAGAGGCAGTCTTGTGTAAAATTGACTTTTTTTGAGCTTTACATCATGTTATAATGTTCTGTCATCCAAAACATTCCTGGATGGTTGCTTTGATTCTTTTGTGCTTGTTTGAGAAATCCTTTAATCTCTCGTGACAACAATCTAAAGGCTTGGTGGGACAGATCAGCCCTCCTCCACAGCTCCTTCAGACTAGCCAGGAGCAATTAGCTGAGCTCGTTAGGAGCTGCTTCTCAGCTCAATGCTGGTAAAAATGTTGTTAAAGGGTTAATAGAGGAGGCATGTTGTGACAACTTCCTGAAGGCGGAGTTTCAGAAAGAGCAGGAGCTTCTTAAAGAGACAGAGGTGCAATTTCAAGGACTTGAATTATGAAGTCAAATTTATTTTAAATCATATTTGAGATATATATATAAAACATTGTTTTTAACAACAGAAGGTAACATAGTTGTGCTACAAAATGGCATTATATATGTGGCTGGAATACAATACTGCCTCTTTAAAAAATAGCTGTACAATAATTTTTAATTACATAAACTGCTGCAATCATTGCTTTGGTGTACAGCAATAAGTACTGTTGCTTAATATTCAGTATCAATGCAAACCTTACCCTCCACTTTGACAGTTGTGTAATGCAGTATTTACATCCTTAGACACGCAGTAAGATATGAAATACCACTGATTTGCATATGGATATGTCTGACAATCTTTTAAGTCATACTTTATATATGTAGCATTTTTGTAACAACTGAAGGTAACAAAGTTACTTGATTGTGCTACAAAAAGTGTCATGTGGCTGGAAACACATAATTCTGCCCCTTTAGCATTATAACCAAAAGAAACAATGTATTTTAATTGAGATTTTTGCAAAGCCTAACTTACAGTAGTGCTTGTTTGGATGACAGCTAAAAAGTTCTTTTTAATTTTTGAACTCTGTACATAAAATGCTAACACCACATTGTGTTAAATGAGAAGAGTTTACTATCAGTGAAACAATCCCTATATTTGACAGAGGGCTAAATGGGAGCACATCATATACACTTTAGCTGACTCCTGTATTTAGTTTATCAGTGGGGATGAACTGAGTGCTACAGGTTTACTCACTCCTTGGTTCGTTCAGAGTGACGGACTCAATGAAGTTTAGAGGAGTCATGTAGAGCTGGCCCTCACACTCCACTGAGCTGAAGAGCCGGAATCTGTTTTCATAGGTCGACATATAAACGTCCCCATCATCCAGGTCGTAGGTCTTCGCCTGGAAACACACACAGCGGGGAACATAAGTACCTGATAGGCCGCTGATTTTTAAAACTTCTCTGCTTACAAAGAATGGAGAGGTCTGTGGCTTTCATTGTATGTACACCTCCAGAAAATCACAGAAAATGTAATGCATTTTATTGCATGAAATATGTATTTGATCTCCTACCAACCAGAAAAACGTCTGATTCACAGTTTAAGAAACCCTCCTATCCTCTACATTACCTGTAGTAATTTATCTGTTTGAATAGAAGAATATATGTATAGAAGACACCTGTAGTAAATTAGACTCCAACCTGTACACCAGGTGTCTCCAACCCTAGTCCTTGAAATCTACTGTCCTGCAGATTTTAAACAGAACCCTGCTCCAACACATGTCAATCAAATTAATGGCTCGTTATCAGGACTTCGCCAAAGTTGATAGAATGCTGAAGACATAATTCAATTGTCTGATTCAGCTGGATTACAGCAGGTCAGTGTTGTGTTCAAGACCACCCAACCCGAGACCAAGACAAGACCAAGACCAGAGTGTATCGAGACTGAGACAAGACCAAG